GATAGGACTGGGTTACTCCCCCCCCCCCCCCGATTAAACAAGAATCCCTGCTGAGTGAGCCCACGTATCACCTGCCCCATCTCTCTGACCTACTGTCGGGGATCATACAAATTCCAGCGTTTGGATTTTAAATGGTCTAGTTCAGAGGTCGGCAACCTACAACCTGCGAAATTTATTTTGTTGAATATATTTCGTTTATTCTTTTCAAAACCTCATACTCCCTCCTCCGGGCAGATCACCGCCACAATCAATTATACATTCCGGCCATAGGGTCGAAACCGTGTTAATCCAGCTTGCTATTAGTAAAAGATTGCCGACCCTTGGTCTGATTGAACAAAAGGTGTAAGCTGAGAATTTCATAATGTATGCCCATTAACATTCATCGCTATTGGCTAATCGCGTAAATTATCTGGTACCTAGGAAATTATTGTTGCAATAGATTCGCAGCTTGAAAATCATTCAGGAAAAGTTGATCGTGTATCTGCAGTACTTGATGCACTTTGGATTATGATCATTCAAATTTTCCCGCACACATGAGAAGGCCTCATTGGGATTGGGGATATCGATGAAGGTTTGAACGTCCTTGAGTGGAATGGGTGAGTGAAGAAGGCAGAAGGGGACGTGTTAAAGAAAATACCAGGGTTGCCAGATGGTTCTGTGAAATAATCACAACATTATGCGAGAATATATTGTGAATGGAGGAAAAGCAATAATTCAGGTAGCAGAACTGTAGCATAACTAATCCTACCGTATAACAGAACCTTCTAAATATGTAATAAAATTCATTTTCTGGAATTCATGAATTATTCATATCTTTGTGATGCCAACCATAAAGGTGCTATTGTCAAAGCCACACACACACAGCCCTTGCCCAAAATTGTCTGATTTGACAACCTTGGTTTAGGCGGTACAGTCAACTCCGCATAATGGAATACCATTGCACGGTCCCGCTTTATGGTACAATACGACAGATAATGTCGATTACTGGAATACTCCGGATTATAGAGTAAAGTTCGCTGGTCCCATGAGTATTCCAATATCCGGAGTCGAATGTATAAGCATGACATGCCCGGGGGGGGGGGGGGGGGGGGGGGGGATGCGGGGGGGGGGGGGGGGGGGAGACTGGCAAACTTTCCGGAAAGGGGCGAGCTAAGGAATGCGACCCTCGGACCCTTGCTTAAGAGACTCCCGGAAGGGAAGTTTCTTGCCCCTGGCTCTTCATGACTTGCCCTGGGAGGAGAAGTGGGGGAGGAGGGAAACTTCTTCCCGATCATTGGGCCCTTCGCTGGAAGAGGAGGGTAAAAAAGATCGTGCTTCTGAAGACGAGGCCTGTAGGCCTAAGGTTCACTGCGTATGTTGAGTATTGTGGTATCAATAGATCAGATGAAATCCAAACCAATTTCATATGCAGAATATTCTTTCTTTTAAGACCTGTAAGTAAGGTATGTACTTATTCTTGTATTCAGATTCCACCATCCACAAACGAAATCGATATAACCCCGAAATAGCATCAACAAACCACCACCAGCTATTGTTCTTTCACGCCTGCACATTATTAATCTAGACGCGTTATCTTATGTTGCTGTAATGTACCAGGACTCAAACTCAAGAGCAGATTGCTTACATTTTTAAAAAGGGAGGAGGAGGGGGGGCGACACGCCGACCATGGCTAGGGTTTTGGGCCGGGTGGGGATGAAGACTTCAGAGACCCCGAGTTTGGAGGCCTTAACGGCCTGCCCGCAGGCCCGATTTGAAAGACACGATTCACGGGTCTGGCTTATAAAGCTCAGTTGGCCAGTTAGTTCTGAGCCGCGAGCAGGCCAAGACTTAAATCAGTCCGATGGGGTCAGGTTCGAAAAAATCTACCAATGCGGTTCTCCAACGGACAGACGGACCGATACACAAATGTCAACTGTTATTATAAAGACATTATAACTGTTATTATAGTTCTTCCGCTAGCTCGTCGTGCCTAGCGGGAAGTTCAGTCCCGTATGTTTGTGTCGAATGTCACCCGTGGTACTGTAAACTGATGAGGGTTTACGACTACTAAAAGAGATAAACATAGATTACTGATTACTGATTACGGTAATTTAGATTACTGTGGGGTAATGTTTATTTATTCAACCATGTTTATTTTGTTTGGTATACATCGTGAAAATTCAGCCATTTAAATATTGGATTTCTTATTGGAATAACATCTGTATTCAACATTTTACATCCCCTCTAAACCATTACCTCCCACTGGAACGCTTGTATTCCTGAGCTAAGTTCATGAAAATTCCACTTCGCAGAGAGGGAAAGACTTAAACGACTCCAAAATAAACGAGCGCATGGTACGAGGAGTATTGCATGCATAAAGATGATCGTGTCATGGATAGAGGCCCTCTCTAATCGCCTCCGGTGTGGAAGTTCAGCACAAGTGGGGAAAGGTGGAAGGTGATGAACGGAGTAACCCTAATTGAACGCTATGCCCTAGAGCGAAGGACTCCGAAGAAGGCCCTGCCTTGCCATTCACCTCCGACCCCTCTGACCCCCGTTGGGAACCACATTCCGAGAGGCAATAAACGACCCTCATTAAGGAGGGGGTTTGAGCCCTTTAACTTGACTGGAGATGTGCCCGTCATGAGTACATAATGCAGATTAGGGCAACATACGTGAATAAGAAAGAAAGCGCACAGATCCATCAAAAAGGAAGATTAAAATCTGCGGCTCGATACCGGGAAACATGCACGACTCAAATCTTCTAAAGAGAATGTTTATTTTGATTTAAACCTGTCACTGGTGTTTCCCACTGAGACGTGAACAAATAAATGTTGAAAGTTTATACAGAAAAATACTGTACACCCTAACGTAAACCGCTTTAATAAATTTATAGGCACTCATGGATTCACTCATATTTCACCGGTGCTGAAGCCCGAGAACCGTCCAGACACGATCGAACCACGTTAACTCGGACGATCGATATGGTATGGAGTTGGGACTGCTATCATCATGGCAACTTTTAATGAGAGAGTGTTCTTGGAAGCTTCTCGATTTTCTTATTCAAACAGAACTCAGGAACCAGGAAAGCATTTTTTGCTCGAAGTGTTCAAGCATGAAAAAGCACTCTTCTCTATACCTAATCAAGGAAAACTATGAATTAGTGAACGCCCACAGAGGATTCTGCCTGTTTCTTCTATGAGAGAGGAAATTATTCTCACCTAGATTGCAATATTAGCTTTTCCCCTGATTTCATTGTCAGCCTAAATCTCGTTCCCTACCAGCGCGAGAGATGTGAGAACTGATGCCAAACCTATTATGGAAATGTATTATGAAAATCTGAAGAGTTCTGACGTGTAGGTGCAGCCGAAGGAACCAGTTTTTTCAAAGGCATCATCGGCCCTGGGGGATTCCTCTCAGTACGAGGTGTGCAAGGAGAAACGGACAGCAACTTCTCAGTTGGAACGATCCAGAATGGATTTCCTGCTACATGGATTTCCTACATTCTGTGGAAAGATGAACGAGTCCAAATTCCTTCGTCTCATATTCTGAATCGAAGACGGTGAAGAGAATTATGCAAGGATGTGAAATACGCTCTGATTATGGCAAAGAACTTCGAGGATTGAAGAGGGAAAGGAACCACTGTTTCCACTCCAGATTATCGGGAAGGGTTTTAGCGCTTTCTTTTTTTGAATCATGTATTCAAGAAACTACGAGGAGTCCTCAATTCAGGCATTATAACCATTCGACAGGGAACAGAGTTCCTTTCTTACCTGATTATAGTGTCCATGTATATGGACATGTACAAAAAAAGAAGCTGTCCTAGATTAAAATAGAGAAGTAGCAATGTTATGAAAACTCCCATGTCTTCACGTGTGCATTCCCGGCCTGCATGAGAAAGTGCGCAGCGGGTCTACGATTATATTTTTTTTTTATGTAGAGCCGGTCTCGAGAGAGAGGGAGGATTACACGATCCGTCACGTCTTGAGGCTTCATGGGGTCGTAGCCTCCGATTATGGGGGCTACACCTGCTTCGCCCGGAACGAACTCGGTGATGCTTCAGCCACGCTCCAAATCTACGGTAAGTCCTCCAATTCTACCTGCATGGAGTCTCTCCTCCTCGTTGACGATGCATTGGGTGCAGTCGCAACCCAAACCGACCGATTCAACATGGCAGACGCCAGACTCACTGAAGCCATCCAAGGATGTTGTAGCAAATGTTGCAAATGCGCTTATCTCGTGTGGGTATCGCGCCATCTGCGGCTTGCATTGCGACACGCACCATGTAGGAGATGTCTTTGGTTTCATCAGGTGATGGCCAGGTCTGCTTGGTTTCGGAAATCAGGAACTTTTTAAAATTTGGATAACCTTTTCTCTCCTCAAAATAAAAATGTGGCTTCTTTATCATTTCATGCATATTCCAGCGAAAATCCCTCTTGATGAGAGAAGATTTCCCTCGCTGAGAGGATTAATGCTCTTTGGGGAGTAGTAGGCGTAGTTCCTCGAGTAAATGAGGTTTAAGACTCAAATTTTCTCTGGGTATTATTCTGACCACGTAAGAGCGCATAATGTTCGGATCTGGTCATCTGGCTTTTCTGCTACTTGCCATGTTGTCAATGGCATATTAAATACCATTGAAATTGCCCTCTGCGTTATAGTAACGTGTCGATTCGACATGCCTGCTTATATATCAACTACGGCGATTCATTTTCCAATCAAGCATGAAACATGCACACCGCATGCGTAATAATATATTATTTAAAAGTCATTGTCCCCCTCAACAACGAGGGCAAAATTGTCATGTTGCCATGAAAGATGGAAATTGGTTGCAGCATGCCGGTCCCACTATTGACTCGAGCAAATCTCCCTTGAATGCCTCATACGAAGATACAGAGGACGTCTCGTGGCGCCGAGAAATGCATCAGCCTATGCCAGTCGTGGTAATGAGGAAGGATCTCCTACAGGAGACAGAAGTATTATTGGCTTATTATAGTTGTGGTGGCATAAATTGTCTGGCTTAATTGGAAGGACAGATGAGAGCTTGTGTGCGTCGTGAACGTCGTTAGCGGCTGGGTCTCATGATTGCTTCAATCCCGCCTCGTCGCTGCGTTTCCCGAGTGACAATCGATGAGGTCATCTTAGAATGATTAAATAACGAAGTTTTCGTGCTCTTGCCGGTGAGGACAGCAATCACATGGGCAGTGGGTTCATTATGCATTATTTAACGAATGGCCAGACTTCTTCGGTCACGTGCTACATATTGGAGGGAAGGTCAAACCAAACATGATAATCGAGGATATGTGACGCAATAGGGGAAGAAATCCACACACGCGGAGCAACTGCGTGATCACAATCTCGGTAACATTATCACCCCGACGCAGGGCATGTTGGAGTACTCTCCGTATTTTGTGGTACAAAAGGCACCACAAAGGCAAAATTCCAATTGGAGTCAGCGTTCCAGGAGAACGAGAAAGGGTTCCTATTTTATTTGAAATCCCAGCATTGATTATGCTAAGATAAGATTCATGACTTGTTGCCATCTGCCTCCTTCTATAGGTGAGGAACCCGATCGAGGCTCACACAGACTAGGTCTGCGAACTGGGCCTTGCTCCTCTGTAGACCTTAGAGACAATTGAAGTTGGGAACCATCAAATTCGTTGAGGGAATGCGTACTTAGTCACTGTGTGAGATTTATATCGAGTGAAATTTAGACAAATATCACTCGATCTCCACATTGGAAGCAGAACATATGCAGGTGCATGAAAAAAATAGTTACCTTTCCGTTTTTTGCCCAATTGTGAATATTTGCTACCACCTCCCAATCTCCAACTCCCTAGTTAGAAAGTGGGTTGGTGCACACGATGGGCACATCATAAAGCAAAGAACTGAATCTACTAGGCCCCATGATGTATTACGATGGAAAAGACATTTGAAAGCAAGAAAGCTTGATGGATGTGCATGTTCCCAAAATCCGGAGAGTGATGGTATGATTGGGGGAAAATATCCAATGCACATTGTGCGAGTGAAAAACCTGTATTCAGCATTGATCTCTGCAGCCGATAGGTGGCGTTCAAATTGCTATGAAGTAGGGATAACTTAAGAAACGTCATGCGCTGGGTCTACTCTCTGTTTTTGTTTCCCTTACTTCTCGGTGGCTTCGTAAAGACTGAAGACTCGATTCTCTGGATCACGTGTGCGGTGCTTGCGAGGGCTTCCCCACGCGGTAGTTCAAAAGGAGGTCGCCGTGCTCACAAGCAAAAGTCGAGAGGTTAAACCGTTAAGCAGGAAATTATCTGCGTGGGCTTCCCAAGTAGCAAGGGATCATCCCTGGGACATCCCATTTGGATCCTACGTGGGACAAAATAACATCCCATGGATGTCATAATGAAATCGTCCCGGGATATGGAAATCCCTGGAGCATTCAGAGGACATCCCGTAAGGTTAGAAATACTCTCGTCCCATACACCAAATCCTTAGTATGTCCATAGGACGTCCGTTGTGGGATGTGGATGTGTCCCATAATGGACGTACT